CACATCCATGGTCCAGTGGAATCATTGTAAATATTATAGCATGGACCAGCGGGGTCAGAAGCCTGGAGACCTGTACAGTCCTGACAATAACCCCCAGGTGAGAGTCCTCTAACTCAGTCTTGTCTTGGCAAGGGAGTAACTATATTCTCAAACATTCTTTGTCATTGATTGAACAGCCCTTTTTTTTCCTTTTTTTCCTGGTACCAGGGATCAGACTCAGGACCTTGTGCTTGCAAAGCAGGTGTGGTGCCACTGAGCTAAATCCCCACCCCTACCCTATTTTTTTGAACAGCCTTTTTTCACATGTCTTTCTTTGAGTATTTTGCAGAAGAAACCAGAGAGAACATCTTTTTTTAAAGAACGTGACATGTAAGGTGGCAGAAACAATGCACTTAGAAATGCTCAGAGAATGTTTAAAATGGAGAGGCTGAAGATGTAGCTCAGTAGTAGAGCAGTTGCGTAGTATATGCGAGGCCCTGGTTCAACCCCGGTACTGTAAAATACATAAACATATAAATACACACATACGTGCATACACATATACAAACCAGTTAAGAACTAGAAGGCAATTTGAAGGAACTTTGGCAGAATTTACAAAAGAACCTTTTTTCCTGAGAAAGGGGAATATGAAGCCAAGCTGTAAGAATATGCAGAAAATAATAATGTTTATATGATGTATGCTTCTTTGTCTCTCCCCCTCCCCCTGCCCCAGTACCAGGGATCGAACTCAGGACCTTGCACTTGCCAGCCAGGTGCAGCATCACTGAGCTACATCCCCAACCCTGTGCTTCTCTCTTCTGTAGGCCAACACACAAATGAGCAGCAGTCCTGTCACATCTCCTACTCAGTCTCCAGCACCCTCTCCTGTCACCAGCCTCAGCAGTGTCTGCACAGGACTCAGTCCCCTGCCTGTTCTCACACAGTTCCCCCGGCCTGGGGGTTCAGCACAGGGTACGGAATCAAATTATGGTCTGATGCTGTGGAATTCCCCCTTCATATCCTATTACTAATGGGGAGGTCAGAGGTCATGAACAGGCAGGAAAGCAATATGGCTGGTATAGTTCTGGAAGCTAGCTCTTTCTTTAACATCCAGGGACACCTATACCTCTCTAGTGCTGCCCTTACTTAATCTAGCTGGACCTGAAAGTACACACGTGAAATCCCAGCTACTCAGGAGGCTGAGGCAGGAGGATCACAAATTTGAGTCCAGCCTGAACAATTTAGCAAGACCCTGTTGCAAAACTGGGAGGGGGAGTGTTGGGGATATAGCTAAGTGAGAGGGCCCTGGATTCAACCCATAGTACAAGGGTGGGAGAATTACCTTACTCTAGCCTTCCTTTACACGCTTACTATTTACCTACAAAAAGAACTGGGGAAGTCAGGCAGGCTGGCACATGCCTGTAATCCCAGTACTCAGGAGGCTGAGACAGGAGGATCGCCACAAGTTCAAGGCAAGCCTGGGCTACATAGTGACTTCAGGGCCAGCCTGGACTACATAGTGAGACCCTATCTGAAAAAACAAAACAAAAAAACCTGGGAGAAAGATGCTTCATGAACTTTATAATTAACTAGAGTTTAGACTAATATCAGCACTGAGCTGATTGCTGGGTATGTGCAGCTGTGTCAGAACAGTATGATTTTAAAGGAAGAAATACTGGGCTTGGATTAAAAGGTTTGGATACCAGTTCCAGTGCCACCATCGACTAGCTTTATGATGTTAAGCAAGTTGCTTAAACTTGGAACTACACCTTAGTTTTCTAATCTGTAAACTGGGGTTAATTATGCATACGATAGGAAGAGTCTTATCTGCTTTCTGCCTTGGCTGTCACAAGCAGTATAAAAATAAGATTACAGTACAGTTTAAAAACATTAAAGCGTTCTGATGTTATAATATTTTATCAGTAATAGGTAGCAGTATGGTGCTAATATGTACCAGGCATTACTATAAATGTTTTACATGTCTTTATTCATCCAACCTTCCAGCCACACCAAAGGGGAGAACATCCCAACATCACATTTCCAGCAACAGAGCCAGTATGTTAACATAAGCAGTCTGGCTCCAAGTCTATGCTCTTGTCTACCACACTGTGTTGCCTCACATGAATCACGTGAACCCTGGGTTTGGGAGTAGAGAGACTATATGAGATAGAAGACATTCATAAGGATCTATAGGTTTCTTTCCCAGTCATTTCTATAGGGTCTTTTGTCTGCAATGGGCAGAACCCTTCTTCAACAGTGAGGGAGTCTAATAGCCCTATCTGTGAGATAGGGCTGCAAGCAAAAGGCTTTAGGAAAAGAGACAACTCTTAAATCAGTCACATGGTCACACCTATCACAGAAGAGGTAGAAATAGTATGCTATCAAATCTTGGTAATATCTGAAATGTGAAATAAAAACTAAAATCTTCTAATAGCCATGAAGCTCAAGTTCCCAGAAAACCATCTGCTCTTACTCCCTAGGTGATGGGCGCTACTCCCTCTTGGGCCAGCCATTACAGTACAATCTGTCCATCTGCCCTCCCTTGCTCCACGGCCAGTCGACATACACAGTGCATCAGGTAGGAGTGTCCACCATTAGCCTTAGGACCATCAAGTCCTGCCCCTTCCATCTGGGCCTCTATCCCTGAGCCACCTACTTAAGCCACCTGGGTGGACAAGGGAAACAACACAGGATGGACAAACCAGAGGGAGCCCCACTTCTGTACTCATTACTCCCACCCCACCCCAGTACCAAGACAGAAGGGCTCTTTGTTTCTCATTGGCTACTCACTGGCCAATCTGACTGCCTGGCGGGGTGGAGTCCTCAGGATTGGGTGCTACTCAGTCTCTCAGGCAGACACTGGGACACAAGGGATTCAATGTTGTTTACTTGGAGTGAAAGTTGCCTTTAAAATGTTGAAGGGACAGAGCGGATTAAAACATGGAAACCGGAGCAAGAGACAAACACTCAAGTCTGCCTCTACTGACCTGGGGACAGCAGATATTGGTGAGTGGCAGGATACCAAATCCCCACAAGAAGATGCTTAGGCCCCCAGCCCTTCATTCCCAGCCCAGGATAGATGGGAAGGCCATCTTAGAAAAAGGAATGGTAATGGAGCCTTTTGTGCTCAAGAATAAGCAGAAACTGGAGAAGTAAAGTGTCTTAGTCCCCTTTACCAAGCCATCCCAGGTCTTAAAGCAGATCGCACTAATAATTGGGGAGTAGCACCATAACAGGAGTTAAGACTTATTAACGGACAGTCTTCTGGGAGTACTCCTGACCCTAATTTAGGACATCTGCCTTTGGGAGTGCTAGACCTGTGTAGGAGATGATAGAAAATTGGGGCAATAACTGTCCTTCCTCAGGGCTTCCATGCTAGACATACAAGGTCTCTTGGAATTCCTCTTATTTGTACCAGTTTGCTGAACAAGGAAAGGAAGGGAAACAGACTTCCCAAGGTGATAAAAAGAAGAATGTGTTGGTCTAACCTCTGCGTTTGAAGGAAACTATGGAACATGCTTCAGATTGATCCACTGACTTTTTTATAAGACCACTAGTAAAAGCCACATTTCCTTCATCACAGTGACCCCTTGTGAGAGAACTAAGGTGTTGGTCACCAGATCATAAACCTGAGACATGATTCCCAGTCCCTTCTTGCCTGTATCTCTGGGAAGAGAAAAGAAAAGGGTTCATTTTTTTCCCTTCCTAGTTGTCCTCATTGGAGTCCAGTTGGCAAGGAATCTGATTGATTGGAGGAAGGGAGGAAAGGGTTAAGTGGGAAAAGTGGAGCTTCTGAGGACATTCTATACACACTTTATCAGGTGGATACCTCTCACAACCTCTCTCCTTCCCTTCCAGTCCTGGGGCGGGTGCTGGAGGTGACAGATCTCCCTGAGGGCATCACTCGTACTGAGGCGGACAAACTCTTCACTCAGCTCGCCATGTCCGGCGCCAAGATCCAGTGGCTCAAAGATGCTCAGGGGCTGCCTGGCGGGGGTGGTGGGGACAACAGTGGGACTGCTGAGAATGGCCGCCACTCGGACCTCGCTGCCTTGTACACCATCGTGGCTGTGTTCCCCAGCCCTCTGGCTGCCCAAAATGCCTCCCTTCGCCTCAACAACTCTGTGAGTCGCTTCAAACTTCGAGTGGCCAAAAAGAACTATGACCTGAGGATCCTGGAGCGAGCCAGCTCCCAATAAACAGAAGAGGGGAAGGGACTGGTTGGGGAGGGCAGGTGGAGGGGGCTGAGGTAGGACAGAGGTGGGAAGTGAGGAGATGGACACGACTGATGTCTAAGACATTAGGGATGAAGAAGCAGACTCTCGTTGGCACTGGACTCCTTCCACACTCCCCTGCCTTGGGTACCCTATTCCTCCCTGATTGGCCCCCCTCTGCTTCCCTCTCCTTCCCATTCTCTTCTGTCATTTTTTATCTTTTCTTCCCCCATGAGATTAATTTCTTTTATAATTTTTGGTCAGGTCGAATTGGGAGGGTCCCATGCTCCCCTCTTCTCTTTCCTCACCACCCTAAGCTCCCTTTCCTTTTTCAGTCTTTATGAATATATTTATATGGACAGAATTAAGAAAAAAATTGATTTCCCCATTCTCTCACTTTCCCCATCTTGTCTCTTCATACCCCACAGTTAAAACTTGGGATTTCCCCCGTTCCCAGAACACTTGTATATTGTTTGTTTAAGGTTCGTGCCGCAGTAACAGACACAGTATTTAATTGCACATACAGATGTTTGCTGGGTATATCCGCTGTAAATTTTATTTAATCTGGTTTTTTTGTTTGTTTGTTTGTTTGGGGGGCATTGTGGGGGGGAGGTTGGTTTTGTTTTTAAATATAAAAAAAACTATCACTGGACATCAATCACTGTTTCTCTGTTTTGGCCCTGATGTGGGTGGGGTTTGGGAGCCCTGGGTAGGTACAGCTCCACGGCTGTTGGAGGGATTTGTCATGGGTTAAGATGGCTTCCCCCAAAATGTATGCATATGTTTTCCTGACAGTATTCCTTCTGTCTCATCCTCTCCCTTGTACACAGTGTGATAGATGGCTGGTTCTCAGTTCTCTATGGGACCTTGGTTTGGGGCTCTCCCAACTCTGCAGTTTATTAAGCACATCGCTTCTCATCTCTGGACCTCTGTGACCACATCAGAGGTTCCCTCCAACCAGTTAATTCTGATACTCATTTAGAACTCTCATGGCTGAGCTGGGGACGGGTAAGTGAAGTCCAGAACTGGGTTGAGATGCTGGCCTCATTCCTGTCCATCTAAGCTTCTGAAAATCCTTCAGGGATGGAGAACTTGGATCTTCCATTCTTTTTTTGGTCCCGGGGATCGAACTTGGGAACTTGCGCTTTCGAGGCAGGTGGTGGAACCACTGAGCTAATCCCCAGCCCCTGGATCTTCCGTTGTAAAGCCAGAGGATTGAGTTCCACTTGGCAGAAACAGAAATGGGTGTTTCTTATAATAAAAGCTGCATCAGTTGAACTTGCAGTGCCAAGATGCTGTAGTATCCAGGCATGCTCAGCAGTCTGTGTCCTGTATGGCTGAAGAAAAGTGAAGCACAGAAGTCACCTGCCTGCAAGACAGAGATTCTCTTCTTTTTGGGGACTCCTAAGGCATCCTTGTTGTCTACAGCCTGTCAGAGCAGGGTCATAACAGAGCTATAGACTTACACCCTTGTAGCAGGTTTCAGTCTCACCCACCCCTTAAAGAGAGAAACAACCAGTGGAGGTAAATGACAAAGCATGTGACCCTGGAAACTCTTGGGTCTAGATAATTATCTTTATCCAAGTTCTTCCAACAGCTTGTCTAACCCAACCTCAAGTGTGTTCCTTTATTTCTCACAGAAGGGATAAAACAGCACTATATTACTACCACTGCATTGCTCTTCTTCAAGATCTCCTTCAACCACATCACAACCCAAAGTGTAGAAAAAGCTGTATCCCCATGAGATGAGAGCTGACAAGCTCCTTGGCCTTTCAGTTTATATAAAGTGACATCAGAGGTGGCAGATGGAATCAGGGAGTCAACACAGTGTAGGAAATGTAAGGGTTGGCTGTCCTATCTTCAAGGGTTTGCAGTTCTTTCTTGATGGGCATAGTGGTGCATACCTGTAATCTCATCACTCGGAGGCTGAGACGGGAGGATCACAAATTCAAGCCTAGCTGGGCAGTTTATTTAGCCTAGCTAATTAGCTAATTGGCTCAATTTAGCAATCGAAAACCTGTCTCAACTAAAAAGGGTAGGGGGAGATGTAGCTCAGTGCAGTCCCTGGGATCAATCCCCAGTACCACAAAAGGGAGGGGCAATTTGCCGTTCTTATGGGGAAGGGGAAATTGTGTACTGAAGGAAGATGTAACCTTTTATCTCCTGTTAACTAAACCATCTACCTGATGGTTAAACCCTCACTCTTTGAGCCCCTCAGATGGAAATCCTAGCCTGTCTTTTAGTAACTATTACAATTCCCTTCATCTTGTGAACAAGATTTTAGAGGAACGGGAGCAGGGGGGATTCATAAGGAACAAAGCAGTACTACAGATTCTTCATTTCCTTACAGGGTAGCACGTACCCTCTGTCTGCCCACAGATGGGAAAGCAATCTTATGTGGCTGATAGGAGGGCCCAAAGAATTCAAATGACCCTCCAGCAGGTTTCAGCCCTTTCCTGGCATAAAGGCTTGAGGCTAGATGAGTGCTTGAGGATAGATATATATTAAAACATGGGGCTACTAAAAAACAGTGGCTGAGAAGGTAAGTCTAGTCCTTAAAGTAGGCCTAGGGAAAATAGAACTGGGGAGGTTTTTGAACTTTAGGGAAAGGGTATGGGCAAATCTGTTTATAGTTCATCTTGACTTTACCTTTAGATACCTAAATTCCCCTCAAATGAGTATGTAGCATGAGCAGAAACTGTCCCTTCGTGACGATCCAGTGTTCATCATAGATGAACAATCAAAATCAAAGAAGAGCAGCTCTGGGGGATGGGAGGAGTTAGGGTCTGGCCCTGCCCTAGACCTCCCGTGTCCAATTTCTCCATGTCAGCTGTGCTGCTCAGCTGTCCACTTTCTTCCAGCCCTGTCATTTCAGCTCTGACACCAAGCCGAGAGGCTAGGAGGCCTACAAATACCGTCTGGGTAGCTGGTGTGAGTACGAAGGGTACTGGGGGGGCTTAGCCCCCAAGGAAGAAGCTCAGTCTTACCCTAGTACCATCAGCAAGGCCTCAGGCCCTCCTTCCTCCTCCTACAGACTGTGGACTGATTTAGGGAATCCCAAACGTAAGTTACTTCATCCTCTCCATTTCCAGGACTGCACCCCAGCTTCCCTAATCCTTAGTCTCTTCAGCTTCATTTATCTCCTTGTCTGTGAGTAGTTTGGTTTTAGAAGTGAAATTGTTTTTCTACTCTAGAATGAGCTAGGATTGGAGGTGGGGTTGGGGTCCAGGGAACTGAATAGTAGGAGAAGGAAAGGCTCATATTACTCTGAAAATAGCTGAGGCCTGAGGCAGGATGGGACAGAACTAGGCACAGGCCCCTGGGGCCCAGGAAAGAAAAGAACAAAATCTCAGTCTATCCTTCCATTCATGCTCTCGTGGACACATGTAAACCTCTGGAAGAAGGATGTGGGAAGGTTTGCATCATGTCCTTATTGCCCATGAGTGTCTAGAGGAAAATCCCTAACCTGGGCATCCTGGAGGTCACTGTTAGGGCTGTAAATTCTGGGGCTGCCCCTGAGGGTGGGAGGATGGGTATTAGTTTGAAAAACTGGATGGGAAGTTGGTCAGTCTGCTGGGCTGTTTTCTGGACCTCCATGGAATCCATGGAATAGTAGGACTGTTCAAAAGCCTACCTACCAAAGGATCTCACTTTAATCAAATTTCTTCCAAAGTCTTCCCTTCAAAGACCACCATACTGCAAGGGACAGGAATAAGGGAAGGAAGAATGGTAGTCAGGGATTAGATTTCACAGTAGAGTTCAACCTCTTACAGGATGACAGAGGTGCTAGAGTCTCCTAAGCCCTCCTTGCCAGCAGAGACTCCGCAAAGTGGGGTGAGTCTGGGCCTCTGACCACAGGATTCGGGGTGAGGGGACATTAAGGCTTCTGAAGAGAAGTGCTTGAATTGATCCCACTTGCTAATGCTTCACTTACTATTTGAATGTTAGCCAGCACCTGCAGCCTGTAGTCCCCTAAATCTGGAGAACATTGCTTGCTCCAGCTAGAGTAATGTATTAGCTTTAGCTCCACCTACTTTTTTGTTTTTTGTTTTTTTGGTACTGGGGATCAAACTCGGGACCTTGCACTTGCAAGGCAGACAGTGGAACCACTGAGCTAAATCCCTAGCCCCCTGGCTCCACCTACTTTAAGAAGGGTGACAATTCTAATACTGGGTTTCCCTCCCTCAGCTACAGCGACTAAAGCAGTTGTTCAGGAAGGAGTCTCCAGAAACAAAAGAGATGGAGCTTCCCCCAGAGCCCCAGGCCAATGGTGAGGCAGTGGGAGCCGGGGGTGGACCCATCTACTATATCTATGAGGAAGAAGAAGAGGAGGAGGAGGAGGAGCCACCCCCAGAACCTCCTAAGCTTGTCAATGACAAGCCCCACAAATTCAAAGATCATTTCTTCAAGAAGCCAAAGTTCTGTGATGTCTGTGCCCGGATGATCGTGCGTGAGTCATGAAGGGAAGTGGAGAATGTGATGTTGAAGGCAACAGGGCAGGGGAGATGGGTTTAGGAATATTTGTAGCAGACAGATGGACAAGATTCAGCTTATGAAAATACTATTCACTATTGATAATGGACAGTCCCGGAAAAGAGAAGCTCAGAGCTAGCGTATCCATAGTGGGAAAGGGCACATCAGAACCTCACCCAATTATTCTCCCTCTCCTAAGTCAATAACAAATTTGGGCTCCGCTGTAAGAACTGCAAAACCAACATCCATGAGCACTGTCAGTCCTATGTGGAGATGCAAAGATGCTTCGGCAAGATCGTGAGTAGTTTGTGGAAGCAAAAAAGTAGAAGAGAGGGCATGTGTTGCCAGCTACCCCCTTGCTTGTCCCTCAGGTGATCCTGTACATTTTCCTTCTCTTTCTCATCCAATATCTTACTCTGAGAATGGTTAGCTCATGCATGAAGTAGGGTGCTGGGCCCTACCGTACTACCTCTAATGCTTCTGCCTATCCCATCCTACAGCCACCTGGTTTCCGTCGGGCCTATAGCTCCCCACTCTACAGCAACCAGCAGTACGCTTGTGTCAAAGATCCCTGTAAGTGCCCAGTATGGGACCTGAGGGAGTGGTCAAGCCTCAGAGATGGTTTCATACCACCTCTAGCTTTGGAAAGCCAAATTGTGAAACATAAACCTTCTGTTTTCTATAGTTCTTCCTCAGTCTAATATTTTTGTAGCCATTTTGGAGGCAGTCAGTATTCCCTTGATTTTTGTTGTTGTTGTTTTTTTTGGTACCGGGGATCAAACTCGGATCCTTGCCCTTGTGCAGCAGGAGGCTAAACCACTGAGCTAAATCCCCAGCCCCCCAGTATTCCCTTGTTTTATTGCTGAGGGAAATAAGATTTATCTGTGGCTACATGTAGCTAACAGGATGTAGAGCCAAGACTGATCAACTAGCTTCAAAATCTTTGTTTTTAACATACAAAACCATTTTTAAGCAAGAAAAAGGATTCTAGACCGTCTTCATCCTTGTAACAGACACTTGACAGACTCAAGGCCAGACCAAAGCTGTGGACATCCTGGGCAAATTTCTAACTTGGCAACTCTTAAAAGTATATTCATTGATAATTTGTTCAAACCAACATTTATACAGAGAGCCTCAATTCTGAGGAACATGAGTGAAAAGAATCTGCTGGTTATAGCTCCCCAGCTTCCACATGCAACTCAGCAAAACAAAAGCCAGCGGTTTAGGGATAATTCTCCTTAGACTAGTGATTCCAAGTCTGCCCCCAACCCCTAAGAAACTTGCCAAGGTTGTCTTCCACCACCATGTAATGCTCTTCCTAGAAGTTCTGGTAAATATCACAACAGTGTTTTTAAAGCTCTTTATAGATTGGTAATATAGGTATTATCCAGCACACTCTTCCCTAATCCTCCCCAACACCCACACCCACATACTTCTGAGTATCTACTCAATCCACCTCTCCCTACTTGAGGTCTCTTTCCTCCAAGCTTTCTCTGTAATATAAGTAATGTATTTTTTTTTCTCTTCCCATTCCACTAGCTGCTGCCAATCGAAATGACCCTGTGTTTGAAACCCTGCGTACTGGGGTGATCATGGCAAACAAGGAACGGAAGAAGGGACAGGCAGATAAGAAAAATGTGAGCACTATACATCCCCACTGAGGCCCTCCCAGGAATTCTATGGGGGAGGTTATTTCTCCTTTGGAAAACTGACAGGCTATGGATATTCTCCCCACCTCACCCCCCGCCCAAAATAGCACATAACCCAACAGGCATATTTTTGCATGCAATTTTATAGGGTTCTTTGGACTACTGCAGCTCACCATGGGTCTCAGGTTAAGAACAACTTGCCTTATAGGCCAGGGATTTAGCTCAGTGGCAATGCACCTGCCTCACAAGTGTAAGGTCCTGAGTTCAATCCCCAGTACCAGAAAAAAAAAAAAAAAAAAAAAAAAAAAAGAACCACTTCCCTCAATTCCTTTCTGAAATTGTCAAGTTAACCACCACAGAAGGCTAGGTCTCAAGCCCTTGGCACTGTTGGGTAAGAGAAGCAAGAGTTGTGTTTTGGATTTAAAGAAGAGAATTTGACATGGCAAGTAATGAGAGAATTCTAGAGCCATGCCAGGGTACGTGAAGATCATCTAGTGTGACATAATCATCTTATAGATGAGGAAACTGAGACACAAAGCCACTGGCCAAGAGGAACCTCATTTCTTTTTTTCTTTTTTGGTACCGGGGTTCTAACTTGGAACCTTGCGCTTGCAGGGCAGGCGGCGGAACCACTGAGCTAAATCCCCGGCCCCTCATTTCTTTTTATAATAGCGTTACTATGTTGGTAATGCCATAGATTTGGGTTCAGTTCAACAAGGAATTGATATCTTTCTGGACAACCAGATGGAAGGACTAACACAGATGATGATTACAGTTAAATCATTTCCTAAAATTAAGTGACTGGCAGTGCCCAGTCTGATTTCTGATGCCTTGTAACAGGATTTCTGATGCCTTATAACAGGATTTGGTTCATGGTCCTCATCTCTAGCCTTCTTTCTCACTGATACAAATGGTATATTCAGAGCCAGGCATGGTAGCTCACACTTGTAATCTCAGCACTCTGGGAGACTGAGGCAAGAAGATCACAAGTTCAAACCCAGGTGGGGCAATCTGGCAAAACCCTGTCAAAGAAAGAAAAAGAAAGGGGGGAGGGGGAGGAAAGAAAAAAAGAGAGGGGAATGGGGAGGGGGCAGAGAGAGAGAGAGAGAAGGCTGGGGATGTAGCTAACTGCAAAGGTCCTGGGTTCAATCTGGGCTTTAAAAACACCATTGTGAGGGCCGGGGATTTAGCTTAGTGGTTTCACTGCCTGCTGCGCAAGCGCAAGGACCCGAGTTCGATCCCCGGTACCAAAACAACAACAACAACAACAAAAAAGCACCATTGTGATATTTACCAGAACTCCCAGGCAAAGCATTACATGGAGTTGGAAGACAACTTTAGCAAGTTTCTTAGGGGTTGGGGACAGGCTTGGAATCACTAATCTAAGGAGAATTATCCCTAAACCGCTGGCTTTTGTTCTGCTGAGTTGCAAGTGCAAGCTGGGGAGCTACCACCTCTGGGTTCAATATATTATATATGTTCATTAAGTTTGTGGGAAAGCTAGAAGGAATAACTTGTACACTGAATATTTTAAAATTTTAATAAATTAGAAAAAAGACCCAAAACTAATGATTTGAAATTTCATAAAAAATATACTTTATCAGTTCTTAGATTTTAAAAAAAATCACCAGGTGTGGGGGCACACATTTATAATCTCAGCTACTCTGGAGGCTGAAGTAGGAGGCTACATCCACCCTGGACAACCTGCCAAGACCCCTATCTCAAAATAAAATGTAAGCTGGGCATTGTGGTGCACACCTGTAATCCCAGCACTCAAGAGGCTGAGGCAGGAAGATTGCCACCAAATGAAGGGCCAGCCTGACTACATAGTGAGTTCAAGACCAGCCTGGACTATACAGCGAGACCCTGTCTCAAAAAAACTTAAAAAAAAAAAAAAAAATACCTGGAATCTGGATCGTGGGTGGGACTTAAAGGGAGTGAAAAAAGATTTTTTGTTTTTTGAGACACAGTCTCACTTTGTAGTGCAAACTGGCCTTGAATTCACTGTGTAGTTCAGGTTAGCCTCGAACTCCTGGTCATCCTCCTGCCTCAGCCTCCTGAGTGCTGGGATTACAGGCATGCACCACCACCACCAGCAGTACTGAAAATAATTAGAAAAGAAAAGCCAGAAAAGACATGTCAGTTGTCTTCATATATTTAGGAGGGCCATATTTGTTACACATTTATAGCTCCAAAGGGCAAATCAGGACCAATAATTAGAGATTATAGGGAGACTGACATAGGCTTAATATAAGGAGCTGCTCCCAAATTATATAGAGTTACTTTTTCTTTGTGGTGCTGGGAACCAAACATATGGCCTTATTCATGCTAGGCAAGCACTCTACCACTGAACTAATGCCCAGCTCAATGGGGTTACTTTGTAAGGTAGTAAACTTCCTGTCATTACAGTCAAGCAGAATGTGGGTAACTTACCTGCCAGCACTTTTCAGAGGAAGTCTCTACATTAGGACTAGATATTTCCCCCAAGTCTCCTTCCACCTTGAGATCCTATTATTCTGTAGTTCTCTGGCCTAACTGGAGAGCCAAGACAAGCATGAGTTCCCAAGACAATATCTCCCTAACTCTGATCCCCTCTCTAGCTTCTAACAGCCATGATGGAGGAGGAGCCAGAATCAGCCAAGCCAGAGGAAGGCAAAGCCCAGGATGGTGAGTGTCACCCACCTCCATCCACAGAGATGAGATAGGGTCAGGGGCTCAGCTGTGGTAGAGGTTGTGGAGAGGTAAGGGCAGCCCAGGTTTGGAGATAAAGGAGAACCTTCAACACAAGGGCAAGAGAAGAAGAGCTGCCCTCCAGGAAGCAGCAACAGTGTATCCATGTTTCCTATCCCAGGAAACCCTGAAGGGAACAAGAAGGCTGAGAAGAAGACTCCTGATGACAAAGTGAGAATCCTTTCCCCCTGCAAGGACCCCAGTCCTCTCCCCAGCCCAGGTCTGATGTCACTGACCACCTCAACAAAAGTTCCCATCACCCTCCTCCACCCTCACCATCACCTCACACACACCCAGCAAATTCCTCAGCTCAGGGACCTAGAAGAGAATTGGGATGTAGTGTCTGGAGATTAGCCCTCGTATGGGGAGAGGAGTGCTGAAACTCATCATCCATTTTTGCCCCCAGCACAAGCAACCTGGCTTCCAGCAATCTCACTACTTTGTGGCTCTCTATCGGTTCAAAGCCCTGGAGAAGGATGATCTGGACTTCCCGTAAGAGGCCTTTAGAGAAGGGGGTGGGGGTTACAGGGGAGTGAAGAGGGGAAGAGCTGGGCTCCCTATGGGAAAGGGAAAGGGGGATCTCCAGGCTTGGAGCCTCTTGAGGCTTGGCCTGGGGCACAGCCAGGGACTGTTATGTGACTGAGACCTCTGTTCCTCTGCCAGGCCAGGAGAGAAGATCATAGTCATTGATGACTCCAACGAGGAGTGGTGGCGGGTAAGAGGAATGGCTGCAGCTAGGGCCGGGTATGGGTTGAGTCTAGAACCTGTGAGATTGATTCTCCCTACTTCCCTAGGGGAAGATTGGGGAGAAGGTCGGATTTTTCCCACCAAACTTCATCATTCGCGTCCGGGCTGGAGAACGTGTGCACCGTGTAACAAGATCCTTCGTGGGGAACCGCGAGATAGGGCAGATCACTCTCAAGAAGGACCAGGTAGCTCTGGTGCCCCAACCCAAACTAAGGCCTTAGTGCTCTTCAGCCAGCCATACTGCTTGGATATCTTAACCCATTAATGAGACTAGGACAAGCCTCTGTAACCTCAGCTTCCCCTGTTCTTCTGACTTTCCCTCGATTCCTCTCCTACTCCCTAATCCTTTAACCCTAGATCAGTGGTGGCGAATTTATGGCACCAGTGCCGTAGCGGGCACACGGAGCCCTCTATTGTCCGCGTGAGAGCCAAGTCGTCCCAGCAGCTGAATACCGGAAAAGTTGTTTTTTCTAAATCTAAGTATTCAGGTTTAAATGCAGTGTTGGCACTTTACAGTAAATAAGTGGGTTTGGGATTGAACCTTGGTCACTTGGTCTCTAAAAGGTTCGCTATCACTGCCCTAGATCGTGGTGCAGAAGGGAGATGAAGCTGGCGGCTACGTCAAGGTCTACACCGGCCGCAAGGTGGGGCTGTTCCCCACCGACTTCCTGGAGGAGATTTAGGCTTGCGGGCGTCTGCAGGCAGGAGACACTCACCCATTCCCCGTTCTGGGCGGGCCCAGTGGAGGCTGGGGAGGAAAGGGGCGAAAGCAACTAAGACTGCTGCTTGGGGGAGGCCCACCAGTGCAAGACGGAGTTTCTGGGAAGGGACTGGTTCCCGCCTCCGTCTCCCAGCCTAGGGCCTCGAATACCTGGTGTCCAGGGCAGCCTTCACCCGCAACCCCTCAAGTCCAGCCTGCAAGAGCTGGAAAAGGAATGTTTCTCCAGTAAGATGCGCCGAGGGGTGTCGTGGGGACGAGCTGTCGAATGTTGCAAATTTATTAAAGTTTTGACAAAAGTATAAAAAGTTTGTTCTTTCACTGGGAACAAGGAGAGAGCTTTGAGGGGAGTGAAGAATGCTTTCCCGCTGTCCCATCTTTCGGATAACCAAGACCCATCTAAGCTGAAGTTGGTGGGAGGTATGGAACAGTTGCATCCGTCCGGCGAGACCTCTGCTAGTAGGGAAGAAAGACAACCGGACTGGAGTCGCCACCCCGCTGTTCCGGCGGCTGGAGCAGAAATCTCGTAGCAGGGTAGATGATCCTTCTAGCTCTTGGCTATTTAGCGGTGGGCTGACCCTTGTGTTTCGGAACTTGGCTCAGCGCCGAGCTGGGCCGCCAGGGGGCGATGCAAGATCTCAGTTGGAGATCGGGGAATGGGCAGGGGCGGGAGGAGGATGGATAAGGGGAGAGAACCAGAGACACCAAGCCCGAGACCCTAGGCCTGGCAGGGGGGGTGGGGTGCGTGCCGTCTCCATGGCAACACTTCCTCAAATCCTCCGGGAAAGGAGCTAGCGAGGCCGGAGGGCGGGTGTTAGCCCCTCCCGCGCGGTCCCTGCGCCAGCCCTTTCCGACAGGTACCGAGAGAGGACGCCCGAGCGGACAGCTAACCGGCTCTGGCGGAGTCCCCCCCTGTGGCGCGCCGTATGCAAATATTGGCATTTGCATATGCAAATATGCAAATATGCCGGCCCTTGTCAGGGCGGCAGGTGGCGAGGAGCAGGAAGGTGTGGGGAAGGGAGCAGAAGGAGACAAGGAGTTTGGGGACCTGGGAGTAGACCAGTGAGAGACAGCCTGGGGTGATCGCTGGAGTGGGGCAGGCAGAGGGTCTTGAGTTGATGGCGGGTGGGGGAGGGTAGGGCTGGCCCAGAAGCTCCTCTTCCTGCCTGCCCGTTGTCTGCCAGGACTGAGGTTGGCACCGCCTAGCAAGGTTGGCAGCAGGAGCCTGGGCACCATCTGCTGCTGGCGGGGGGGAGGGCAGAGGCTCAGCTGGGCTGGGGAAGAGGAGGGCCCGGGACAGGCCCTCTCCCCCGCCTCTTCCTTACAGAAGGCTAAGGTGTGAAGGGGGGTAGGGAGGCACACAAGAATACTCGCTACAGAACCCGGTTCAGTTTCTTGTTCCCTTTGCCCTTGACTGTCCCAAACGCCTGGGGGCGTTAGCAGGGTCATACAGGAAGATTCAGGCAGCTCCCTTTTAATTAGGATTGGGCTGAAATAGGAGATCACAGGCACATGCACACATCCCAGTCGCACAAGTCAACATTTGCCCCATTTTTCCTCCGTATCCACCTACCATGAGGGTATGCGGAGAGGGACAGCTGAGGACTCGTATTGCTCCTATTCATATTAAATGATCTGAAGAACTTAAAACTGGAGGCTCTTCTCCAAGATCTTCAAGACCCCCCTCCACACACACACACACACACACACACACACACACACACACACACAATGCTGAAACAAAACCAATTTACTGGCTCATTGGGCGGCAGCGCTGGTATGGGGGTGTCGAGGAGCAGGGAGAGCGGCTGTTCTTCCCCTACACTCGAGGGGCGCCCCCTCCCTCGCCTTACCCAGCCGGCAGCTGTCCCTAATTAGAGCGGCGGTTTAATTGGATTTATCAGCAGTTAATAGGAAATTAAGCAAAGGGCCCGAGAGAAGAGGGGTGGGAGGAACGGGGAGACAGGCTGTGCTGAACTCAAAGGAGGGGTGCTGGGGCTCCAGCAGTGGGAACACAGGACATAATGTCATGATGAAGCCCCCATGGTCATGCCCTTCCCCTCAGTACTCTCCAAGCTGGTGGAGCCCTGGCCTTCTGACCAGGAAGCAAATCCCAGGAGACAGCCACAGGCATGACAGCGACCTTATTTGAGTCCCCACTGCCTCCCACTCTCACAAGCAGCCGCCTGGGTGATGGATGATACAGCTGGACACCACAAAGGTCATAAGTCTGGGCCAAGGAGCAGACTGAATTGAAAATAGATCAGAGAAAAGGCCAGAGTACTAGGGTCTAGGACTCAACTTGAATCCCACCCCTCTCCACAGTCCATTCCACTCTTTAAAAAAAAAAATGGGTGTGGTGACCCATGCCTGTAATCCCTGTAATCTCAGCACTTCCGAGGCTGAGGCAGGAGGAGGGAAGAGTTAGAGGCCAGCCTGGGGCACAGTGAGAGACTCTGTCTCAAAAAATAAAACAATACAAAAAGGCCGGGAATTTAGCTCAGTGGTTCTGCTCCCTGCCCCACAAGCACAAGGACCCGAATTTGATCACTGGTACCAAAAAAAAAAAAAAAAAAAAAAATGCTCCTTGAAGTCAGAAGATTGAGCAGCGTGAGAAACCAGTTACCCTTTCTTTAATTCTCATCTTGCAAGTCAGTTGGGGATCCTGGGGATTTCTGAGACCAGGGCCACCAATGTGCCAACTCCTCAGCTCCCTCTCCCCCAAAGGGCTCAGCTGGGGCCCCTGGCATCCTTGGAATTGCTGCTCCAGTGGCCCAAGGTCCACACCACCTGCCCTGAGGACCAGAGAAGGGAGCTTGCAATCAGTCAAGGGAGACCGCAGGTCTCTGAGTCCACAGCCCCCGGCGCCTCCTGTCACCACCACCTCATTACACTGCCAGGCTAACAGGCTAACAAGGCCTACTCAGGGAGCCCTTTGACCTCTCAGCCACACTCCACTATGGAGGGCACAGATGGCAGATCCCACGTGTGAGTGGGTGGAGGCTCTAAATGGCTGTGGGGCTTCTATATCCCATGCATGGTACGTTGTGCCCTGGAGTGAGATGTAGCCCCAGGTGTATGTCTTTGCCCTCACTATGTATCTGTGCTCCTGAATGTGGCTGTATTGTGGGGTTTATCCACTTGCCACCCACACTTATCTCTGTGATTTCTGTCTAAGCTCCAGGGTGTCTAAGTGTCTGGATGTTCATATCGCTTGGCATGTCTACTTGTCTGTGCACTGGTCACACCTGGGTGTGGCCCCTTCAGGTGTCTCCGAGTATCTGCCTTCAGGATTGTATGTGTGAAAACCCAGAAGAGCTACTGGTGTGTCGCTCTGGCGTCTCTGCCTGCAGGTGTGTGTGTCTCAGTGACAGTGCGTGGGTGTGTGCCTGGGTGTGAGCCGTACCCGAATGACAGTGTGACGCACGTGTGTGTGTGTGTGTGCACGCGCGCGCCCCCGTTTGTTCCGTGCTCACGGGAGCGTCTGGGTGAGTCTGCCGCCCCCACCTTCCTCTCCCAATTTCTATTCCTCTCTCCTCTCCTGGCCGGCTCGGCTCTGCCGGCCGCATCATCTCCATCCATTATTGAAGAAACAGCCGCGTCTGCTCCAATCACATCAACACCCCCGCCCCCTCCCGGTTCCTCTCGTCCCGCGGCTCCTCTAGGTGCTGGGGAGGGGGAAAGCCCGGGCGCAGCTGGGGTGCCGGGCAGGAGCGGACTCATGACCCTGTGCCCCGAACTGGGCCAGGCACAGGGACACCGGGGTCCCTGGAGGAGAGCACTTTGCATAAACAGATGGCGCGGGCGTCTTTGTCTCGCTCGCTTACTTGCTTGCTCACTTGCTTGCTCGCATGCTGCGAGGCTCGCGGCTCAGCTTCAGTCTGGCTGATGCAATCATGATCATCTCTGAGCCTCGGGACCCGGCGCCCTTAATAGTGGCAGAGGGGATCACTGGCCCTGGGGCTCCTGAGCAGATGCTGGCACTTTGCCCGCCCCCCGTACCCCCTTCACACCCCACAGCTTCGGCGGGAAGACCGAGGCCGAGACTGAGGTGACGGACGTGTGGAGGTGACCGGGAGGGGGACCCTGAGCAGCGCCACGAGGTGTCCCTAGGCTGTCTAGTTGGACTGCTGCAGCCCCCCAGGGGCAGCAAGCCAGAGAATAGGAATACAGCTGGAGAATGAGGGGGGTGAGCAGTAGAGGGAGACAGAGAAAGGAGTTTCCAAAGACAGACAGGGAGACAGAGATGGAGAGAGATGGAGAGAGATGGAGAAACAGAAACAGATGCAGGACAAAGCCAGGAAGACACAGCAACAGAGGAGAGACAGATGTAGCCAGAACATACCTAAAAAGACAGAGCCTAAAGAAGAGGCAAAAGAGGGGCAGCCAAAGGTTAGGGCAGGCCAGGTCAGAGGCCGGAGGACAGTCTCAGGACCTACTGCCTCAAAGGGGAGATGGAGCCGCAGGCGTATGAGGCCAACCTGGAGAGGGGGACCAGCCTGAACCTGAGATGATGCCTGCAGCCGGCAAGGCAGAATCTTCCGCGTCGCCTCTTCACCTTCTGGCCCCACTTCACATCAGTAGAGTGGAGGATGAGGGACCCATTACCTTGGTGGCGGGAGTAGCCAGAGTGACCCGGCAGGCAGGGACCTACACACTCCGGGTGCGGACTTACCTGCCGGAACGGTGGGAGTGCAGGGCCGACGCTACCCAACAGGGGGAGCCCAAGGCCTCTTCCCGAGTTTAGCAGACGTTCGGCCTCCAGGGGGCATCCGCGCCCATGGCCCTTGCGGCCACCGCTTGCTTCGGCGAGTCCAGCTGCATTTGACTTGCTGCGCCGCCAGATCCGGGATTAGCATCCTGGTGCGGTTTAGTGTTCAGAGTGTAGTCCCGGCGGGACCCCTGGCCGCGCGTAATCCGCGGCTAACGACTCCTGCCATCCCTTAACCCACTGGACCAGAGTGGCCTGAATCATTGTGATAGGAAGGTGTAGGGAAGGGAAAAATGGGTTCTGGAACCCAACCAGTTCTGTGTTCCAGCTGGGCCCCAGAGACCAAGATCCAGGGATGAGACCCAAAAAGGGAAGGGAACTTAGAAACAAAATGGCAAAAACTTAGACCAGAAGCCAGTAAAGGGTCAAAGAATCACGGAGAGGAAGGAGCAGAATAATAAATTAAATAAATCAGAGATTAGGCCTCGGGCCCTCGACAGGAGGAAGAGTAGTCTCTCTGGGAAAGAAGCAGGAAGGAAGACCTGGGTCATGCCAGACACAGGTCACTAGAACACAGAAGAAGGGCCACAAGGAAGTGAGCAAGAGCCCCAGTGCAAAGGGGCACGGTTCAAGGGCCAGGCATCTCTCCGGGCCCTGGCTCCCTAGCTGTGCCACAGAATGCCAGATGTGCAACCCAGCTGGGCACCCACTCAAGCTTGAGCTCCAGGATTGATTTTAGTACCAATGACTGGAGGGCTGCGGGCACGGCGACAGGACACCCCCTCCACGGCCGGGTCCTGGAGGTGCAGGCGTTCAGGCAGGGCTCTGTGCTGCTTGAAGCTCTGACATCCTGTCAGCCCCCCTCCTCCACCTCACCACACACACATCGCAGCGAGTCTCTGTCTCTTTGTTCTCCCCGTGTCTCTGACACTTTATCTCATTATCCGCCGGAGGGAGGCGGAGAGCCAGGGACCCCGCAGCCTAATTACAGCTGGCTTGTCAGTGCAGGGGGCGGGGGAGGTATCAGTGTGTGAGAAAAGGAGGGGGCCCCCAGGAGTGGCCTTCTCCTTCCCTGTACCTCGAGGGGCCCCGCAGCGGGTGCATAGCTCACCCCTGCCGGCGCTGCCACTGGGGGAGCTCTGGAGGATCCAGCAGCAGAGGCGGGAAGGGTGGTGGAGATTAGCGTGGGAGTGGGGACAAGGACTGAGGCTTGGCTCCAGCATCTCCAAGACCCCGATTCCCCAAAGCCGGGGTAGGGGGAGCCTTCCCACCCTGGCAGCCTAGCGTACACCTGAATTGGCTCAGGAACTAGGCAATCGCTCGAAGTTTTGTCTCTACTTGTCGTTCTCTTTCCTTCAACATCTTTTCTATTTTTATTTCCTTCACTGTTTTCTTCCCTGGTTCTACAGCCAGAGGTACAGAGTGACCTCCAAGGGGGACCCCACTTCACTCCTACTCCAAGCAGGCAAGCACATTCAAGTGTCTTAAGCCTTCAAACGGCCACAACTCACGTCTTCTGTCCTGTGTCCTGGTCAGATACATCTGGCTTCTCCAGCCTCCAATCACTATTCCTCCAGGCCAGCCACAACTTGGAGAGTCCACCCAGGCCCGGAAAGGCTGGGCATCTTTAGTGATATCATCTGTCCCCTCTTCCCACTCAACTGTGGACTCAAACAACCAGGGTCCTCAGGACTTTGTAGCTCCTGGGTGGCCCTCAGGGTGTCAGGAAGGGGCTGCAGTTGCCCTCACTGACCCTGGACCCTCTTGGTCCCACCTGTGAACACTCCACACATGCATCTTGCTAGAGATCTATCTGCTTGCCTGTCCCACATCTAATTCCCTTTCAGTCAGTCTCTGGATGCCTGTGAGTCTCCTCCCTCAGACACCCAAAGCCCCGGATATGATGAAGTCCTAAGGGCCAGAGTGCAAGCATCTGGAGGAGAGAGTTGCAGAGCAGAAATCTCTGGATTCCCCAACAATTTCTCTCTTTGCTTCAGGCCTAGAGTTGCCAAGGAAGCAAACCGAGTCGGGTGGGGTGAGTCTGAAGAGGCAGGAACACTGGGCTGGGCTGGGCTGACCCCTCCCCAGTGGGGGGGCGGGATCCAGAAGGAGGCATAGTGCAGAGGCACTAGAGAGGACCAGACTGGAAAGGCGATATGGCAGGAACCAGCCTAGGGGCCCGCTTCTATCGGCAGATCAAAAGACATCCTGGGGTGAGTTCAGTCCTCATGCCTGGGATTCTTTCTGCTGCCCAACCCTGAAGTCCCCTAGAGCCCTGCCCCCCTACAGTTTCCCCAATATCCTCAGGGACTCCTCAACCTATTCTTGCAATATGTCCCATATCCCTAGATCCTAGGATGGCTGTAGAATAAGGAAGACCAGGAATGTGGTTGTGGGAGGTTCCAGGTCCCCTCTTCCTGGAGGAGGGAGGACTAGACCTTGGGTGGAAGTGGGGCAAGCAAGGAAGCTGATAAAGGGAGAGTGGGAACTGGGCAGAGGGGGCTAACCCTGAAAATGCCCTCCGACTTCCCCTACAGCTCATTCCAATGATCAGCTTCATCGGTCTTGGCATGGGCAGTGCTGCGCTCTACTTGCTTCGACTTGCCCTGCGCAGCCCCGACGTCTGGTAAAGGCTGGGTTTGGGATGAAGGCAGGGGTGGGGTAGGGGGGCAAAGTGAAGCGGGAAGGCATGGACCTTCTAGGAATGGAGAGGATGGGTGGTCCTAGCGGGGATCCCCAGACTGTGTACCTCCCATAGTACCACCTGACATCTCAGGGCTTCATCTGACTCCTACCTGGGAGACTATTTCCCCTTGGGCCAAACTGGCCCATCTCTTCTGGTGGCTGGTGACTTGGTGAGTTCTGGGCCTTGGAACCCACATAGCTCCTGGCCCAGTTGTTATGGTGACACCACTCTGCCTGCTGCTTCAAGCTTTTGGGTACCTCTTGTCCATGCAGGAGCACTAGGGATGAGACTGGGTAAATCATGAGGGGGTGCTGTTGGGACCCCCAGGTAACACCTGAAACTTTATGTTCTGCTGGAGATGGGCACAGGGGAGGAGGATCCTTAGACAAGCAAAAGGAGCTCCCACCCATTGCCTTGCTGGGATTCGAGTAATTCCTACCCATTGGGATTTCGGCTAGATTCCCAGGACTCTGCTTGGAGGGGTTAACCTAGGGTGCCAGTGAGAGGAAGTTCCTAGGCTGGATTGTCATTCTGTCACCAAGCCCCACACTGACAATGGTGACAAGCTCCTGGTCTCACTTGTCAGCAAGGGCTAACATGCCCCCGCCCCATCTGTCTGCAGGAAATGGGACCTCCCCAGAGTAGGAGACAGGGGTGGAGGTACTAGGGTGGGGAAAGAGACCCTGGCTGGAACTCAGAGGAACACGTTCAGCTGGAGTCCTGGCTTCCAGATAGGAGATCCTAATCCTCCCTTCTCCTCCACAGCTGGGACCGAAAGAACCCAGAACCCTGGAATCGCTTGAGCCCCAATGACCAATATAAGGTACAGGGTTGCTTCCCCTTCTGCTCAGCTCACCTCCTGGTCTCGACCTACCCCTCCCATATTGGGAGTAAAAGGGGGTTTGCAACCTTTCTTTCCCTCTCCCCGAAGTTCCTTGCAGTTTCTACTGATTATAAGAAGCTGAAGAAGGACCGGCCAGACTTCTAAGCCAGGCTGGGCTGCTAGTTGGATGTAAACCACGAACTCATTTCTTCCACTGCCCCGCTCCCAGACCCTAGGGCGTCTAGTCACCTCATCCAGCTCCTGCTTACACAGGCCGGTTCCCACGAAGAGGGGAGGCAGCTCCACCCCCTACCCTGCTCCCTTGATCCCAGCAGCGGAAGCAACTCTGACCCCTGGCTTCAGTCCCCTGTGGGGGAGGGGTCAGGACAACAGGCAGCAACTGGGTCCTCAGCCCAAAAGGCCCAAACCAGTCCCCTCAGTTCCCCTGACTTGCAGGGCGTGGCACAGGCTACGTGTTGAGCATGGCCTGTGTGAGCCAACAGCAAACAGGGGCCTTTGAGTGCCAAGTGAGGACGTGGCGAGCCCCACGTGTGCCTGAGCTCTGAGAGTGCCAGCCCTGGGGCGGCGCTGTTCAGGCTCAACCAGGTTGTCTCTGGCCGCCCAGCCTGCCCAGGCTGGGGCACCCATGCCAAGCAGAAGCTCCTCCTCTGCCCAAGCCTGCTGCCTCCCCCACCCCCAGCATAGAGCACCTGGACCTCCCCCTGCCGCTTCCCCCCTCCCCTCCCTTGCTCCCCTTGGTCCCCCGGGATCAAAAAGAAGCAGCCGTGGGCAAAATACAATTTCATTTAACAAATTGAATTTGCTGCGCCTGCTAATCACGTCTGGTGTCGGCTCTGATCAGAGACAGAGAGAGGAGGCTGCAGCCCTGGGGGTCCTTGCGGTGGTGGTGGGAGGAGAGGGAGGAATAAATGTTGAGGGAGTCAAATCACCGAACCACTGGCTGGCCCAGGGGACCCCTCCCACATAATAGAAACTCAGGGCAGGTTAGCGTTTTATTAGATAAAAACAGGGAGGGTGCCTGCCCACCCCTTTCTCTGGCTCAGCAGGATCCCCCCCCCCCAAGAAAGAGCAAAAGTGAGACAATGGCAGAGAAGGCAGAAAGCTGGCTGGGAGGGGAGGTGTCCCTTCTAAGTCTGTTTACAAAAAAGAAAGCTATCCTTTCGGAGAAGAGAGATTATACTTGGCTCTTGCCCTGAATGGGCTGGCTGGGGGCCCTTCCCTCCACCACCAAAAAACAGGTGGTATTCTCTTCCAACAGCCCAGGTGGGATGAAGGAGAGTAACTTCCTAGGGCTGGGGATTTAGCTCAGTGGTTCCGCTGCCTGCCTCAAGAACGAAAGGTCCCGAGTTCGATTCCGGTACCAAAAAAAAAAAAAAAGGAGAGTAACTTCCAGTCTGTAGGTCTCAATTCCTAGATGCCTTCAGCGTTCATCAAAACCAGGCATAGGGAAGGCCCTGGCAAACTGCTCTACCCGTTGCCTGAGGTTGGCCAGATGCTGGATTGTTTCTGGGTCCTTGAGCAGGAAGGATTTGAAATCCTGGAGCTTGGCTAGAAGGGTTGAGGAAAAAAGCATGGTTAGAGATCTAGGTAAGGCAGTAGGATCAGGTTGGGGAGGAAGCAGATAGTGGGTGTAAATGGGCTGGTTGTGGGGTTCCTTTTCTTTTTCTTTTGGTACTGGGGATCGAACTTGGGACCTTGAACTTTCGACACAGGTGGTGGCACCACTGAACTAAATCCCTGGCCCATGGGGTTCTTTCTTGACCACTCACCAGTCTTGCTATTCACCTCCAATCCAATGTTGACCCCTTCATCAATAAAGTCTACAACTCTCCGGAAGTCATCCTCACGGAACTGTCGAGAAGTCAAGGCTGGGGCCCCTGGAAAAGCCATAGCAGAGAGGATTGGCAGTCAAGGCCACAGGGCAGCCATATGGTATAGAAGCCTCTCTCTCCTTGGACCCCAAGACTCACCAAGTCGCAGACCCCCAGGGGTGATGGCACTTCGGTCTCCAGGACAGGTGTTCTTGTTGGCAGTGATGGACACGAGCTCCAGGACTCGCTCAGCCCGAGCTCCATCCAAGCCCTTGGGCCGTAGGTCTACGAGCACCAGGTGGTTGTCAGTGCCACCTGAGCGGGGTTATAATCAGGAAATGGTTGAGTCCTGGGCCTCTGCTGGAAGGCTCCAAAGGCCCTCACCCATCCACTGGCTCACCAGACACCAATGAGTAGCCTCGATCTAGGAGGGCATCAGCCATGGCCCGAGCATTCTTCAAAACCTGCAGGGAGTACTCCCGGAACATGGGGGTAGAGGCCTGAGGAGGAGATAATGGAACCTGTGACCCCAGATCGCCTGCCTGCCCCTCCTGGTCCTTTATACCCAACAAGGAGGGCTATGACCCCAGCCTTGACCCCTCCCACACTGGCACAATCTTCCATCAATCTCAACTCTAGTTAGCAAGGTGTGGGATCCAAGCTTCCAGACCACTGCCCCCGCCCACATACCCCACAAGGGCAGGCTCTCCAACCTGCTTGAGGGCCACAGCTACTGCAGCAATGGCATGGTTGTGAGGGCCCCCTTGCAGGGATGGGAACACGGCGAAGTTGATTCGATCCTCAAATGTGTAAGGGATCTCCCGGCCAGTCTTAGGGTCCACAGCCCGTACCCCCTTCCTGTAGAAGATGAGTCCTGACCTGTGTGGAAGGTGCGTGGTCAGAATCTAGGCTGAAATTCAACAAAAAGGGATGGGGAGAGCAGAGAAAGCTGGCTGGCTTGGGCCCTTGAGGGGCTGGAGTTCCTTCAGTTGTGCCTGATTGCCTTGGATTCCAGTGGTAGAAAGGATCAGCACCCCCCAGCCCCACCGCCAAATTCCCTACTAAGGAATGGCCATCACAGGTGAGAGAAGGAGAACAGAACTGTCAGACTGAGCAGAAGTCTTTGGGACTGCACGTGGGAATGAATTCCTCTCCAATCCACCCCGGGAATAGGCCATGAAGACAGGGACAAGCAAGGCCTGAGCCCAGGGAAGCCTGACCTGGCCCCTCGAAGAGTCTTGTGAGTGGTAGTGGTGACAATGTCCGAATACTTGAAGGGTGAGGGAATCACCTTGGCAGCCACCAAGCCACTGATGTGGGCCATGTCTGCCAGCAGGTGTGCCTTGACCTCATCACACACCTGGACAGGTACAGAGACAGGCCTCAGCTCGGGGAAGGCCCAGGCAGGCACACCCAAGGCTGTCCCTCCTCCCCACCCTCCACTCCTCAGGGCAGTGCCCAATACTCCAGCCCCCCACCAACCTCTCTCATGCGGGCGTAGTCAATGAGGCGAGCATAAGCACTGGTACCAGCAATAATGAGCCGTGGTCGGAAAAGTCGAGCAGTCAGTGCCAGCTGGTCATAGTCAATGAGGCCAGTTTGGGGCTGGACAGACAGATAAACAGCTAAAGCCCTGAGACAGCAGCAGGGCAGTTCACACTCTTCCTTGATCCCAAGGGCTGTGGAGTGGGGGAAACAAGGGACAGGGACCCTCCTGTTGCCCAGGAAAAAACACTAAGGCCAGAGCGGCTACCCCTGCACCCAAGAACACTCACATTGAGCTTATAGGGCATAGACTCGAAGAAGATGGATGTGGCAGAGATCCGCTTGACATCAGACATGTAGCCATGGGTGAGACTGGGAAGCGAGAAGCAGGCCTGAGTGGAGTAACCCCCGACATAACCATTCCCTGCCGGGCTCCACAGGCCTCCGTCCCCATAACATTGGCCTAGCCTGCCCCACCCTCCTTGCTCTGTCCACTCTTCGGTGGGCACTGATGTAACTGGGGGGTCTTATCTTCCTCATCCATTGTAACAATGCAGGATAGGGAGAGGGATGTCCCATCTGTATGAGACACAGTAGGTATTCAATAAATAACTTTTCCCACATCAGTACTGCCCACCAAACCCATCATCCACTGTATCTATACTTACTGGCCCCCATCGGGCAGGTCCAGCCCCATGATCCGGTCATGAGGCTGCAGAAGGGCTGTGTAGGTGGCCAGATTGGCTGGGGAGCCTGAATAGGGCTGGACATTGACTCCCCACTGTGTAGGATCCAGGTCAAAGGCTTCCAAGGCTCGACGCTGGCACAGCAGCTCGATTTTATCCACTACCTCTGCTCCCCCGTAATATCTGCATTGGAGAGGGATACATAAAGGCACAGAGACAGGACTCTCGACCATCAGCCAAGGACTGGGAAGGTCACTGCTCCATAAGCACCTCGGGGTACAGGAAGGTTCCGCCGCCACAGGGAGTACCATCCCTGACGTTGCCCTCCAGCCCTCTGGTGCCTAGCCCTCACCTCTTGCCAGGATAACCCTCCGAGTACTTGTTGTTCAGACAGGACCCCAGGGCCTCCAGCGCAGCTCGGCTGCAGAAGTTCTGGGGTGGTGGGGGGGCAATGTCAGAAGGTATTGAGCCCCTTTCCCTGAGTCCCCATAGCCCACCCTACCAGAGCCCAAGGCTGCAGGGGGAGCCGGGCTGCACAAGAAGCTCAGTTCACTCTGGGTTCCTTGCCAGATGTGAGCACAGCCAGAAGCAGCTTTCTTGGCAAACTCAGTGGCTGTGTTGGGTGTCCCCCACCTGTCCACTCAAACTTGTATGTATCTCCAGGCTCCTCTTTCCTCTTGGGAGGGTGGAAGGGGGGCAGGTGAAATTGTAGGGACTCTAGAAGGCTCTGGAAGCTCTGTAATGCCCCAACCCCATAAACAGGACTGCCCTGCCTTTGCTTCAGAGGATGGTAAAGAAGAGATGATAAGGCCCAGCAGAAAGGCCCCAAGGAAGACAGGGAGATCTGGAGAAGTAGCAATAAGATAACTTGTTACTTCCTGTACCTACCCTATGGCCCACCCTCTGCCATTTCCCCGGGTCCCACCTCTGAGGCAATGAGCTCCAGGCCACGGCACTGCCTGTCCTTCTCCTTCTGCAGCAGCTCCCACATCTCTGGGTCACTGTCCGAGAGACTCTCCTGGCCTGTCCAGCCCTGAGTTGCTTCCCCGGTCTGAGTCTGGGCTGCCTTGCTGTGCTGAGCCCGAGCAGCCATCTCAACCAGCTGACCACATCTCTGCAGGGGCTGGGGACAGGAAAAGTCAGGGTCAGATAAAAACTGTTCAGAGAAAGTCTCCCAATCACTCTCAGGCACCACATTCATAGGTTCTCTGGCCAGTACCAGGCAGCCAGCTGCCCAGCCACTGTTCCAGTTCTCTCAACCACACCTCTACATTTAAAGGCCAGTCTAGAGCCAAGGTTGAGATCAATGTCCAGAGGGTAGGTTGGGTTTTTTTTTTTTTGAGACAGGGTCAATTTGTAATCCTCCTGCCTCAGTCTCCCAAGAAAGGGGTAGTTCTGATTGGCTCCATTCACTTCACCTCAGAATCTTCCTCCATTTTACCCCCTGACCATTCTGTAAAGCCACAGGGCAAAACCTGCACCAAAGAAGCCCCCATCTCCCACATTCAGGAGACAGCCAGATTCCAGAACGTCCCTGCCCACAGGAACAAAAGGGCTTTCGTGCAGGCACACAAACCGATACTCTAGCTGGAAGAAGAGACCAAATTGAGAGAAGTTAAACCATGGCTGCCGAAGTAGTTTCCAGAGCAAGGGAGCTGAGAAACCCGCTTGTGTGCCAGCATACTGTCTGTTTGGCATCCGGTGAGCTCCTCTCCCTTAATGCCACGTGAAATGGGCGGTCACAAGGCCCTGGGGCGTCTGTCAGAACAATGGGCCCCAGTTCACCCCAAGCGAGCCCAGGGGTCTCCAGGATTCCTAACTTCCTCGCTCCCTGTGGTCCCAGACAGAGCACGTGTGGTAGAAACCCCAAGAGAACCCCAGAGTTTGTGGATGGGAACTAACGTAGGGGGTAGGGACTTTCCACTGGTCACCCTGTATCTGGAACCCCGTTCTTACCCGCACTGCACAGAACAAAGACAAGGGTAGCATGGTTACGCGAGGTCGCAGGAGGTCCAGCCACTAACTCCAGCACGGAGCAGGAAGAGGTCTGAAGCAGACCGGCCCTAGGGCGCTTGCGTGTAAAGAACGACCCGGGAAACCTGAGTGAAGGGGAGGAGCATACGCATGCGCAATGAAAGCCCTTTGTGGCCTTTTGGGAATTGTAGTTTTTTCTTCTACCTCATTCTCCAGCTGTATCCCCAGTGTTAGGGGATGTTATCAGAAAGACAGAATTTTTTTTTTTTTTTTTTTTTTTTTTTTTTTGTACGGGGACTGAACTCGGGACCTTGTACTTGTGAGGCAGGCGGCGGAACCACTGAGCTAAATCCCCGGTCCAGGCAGAATTTTTTTTAAAGACAGGATCTTGCTATGTAGTTCAAACTGTCCTTGAACTCACTATTTAGTCCTCGGTGGCCTCTAACTCGCAGCGATCCTCCTGCCTCAGCCACCCGAGTTCTAGGATTACAGGCAGCATTGCCCCAAAGAAAAGACATTTAGGGCGACTATATCCTTATGGTCCTAAAGCTTTTCAGGTTTTTTTCTTTTTTAAAAAATTTCCCATCATACCACAGCAATATATGCACACCCGTGTTATAGCGGCACAGTTTGTAATAGCTGAATCTTGGAAACAGCCCAAATGCTGATCAACTGATAAATGGATAAAGAAGGTGTGAGTTTTTTATACAATGAAGTACTACTCAGCTATAAAGAAGGATAAGCTTGAGACATTTCTCCCTAAATGGATGCACCTCAAGACCATGCTCTTAAGTGAAATAAATCGGACTCACATTGTTTCTCCTGTGTGAGAAGCCAAAAGTGGAATAAGGACAAAAATGTATAATAGATATTGAGAAATGGGAAGAAAGTGTTCAAACGAGAAGGAGAACAAGGGAAGGGGCAGGGGAAAAGGAAAGAAAAGTCAAGAAAAAAAGCGAGACTAGAAGGAAAAAACAGAAACAAAGCTTTTGTAAATAAGGAGAGGAAGAAGGGTTGAAGGGAGGGGAAACGGGAAAAAAAGAAGAAGCAAGATATATCATATACAGGTACAAATTTCCTAAGATGAACATTATCATTATGTATATCTAAAATGTACCAATAAATGTTTTGCAAAAAGAAAAAATTTTTTTCCTTAGGGTTTCTTTTTTCTTGTCAGTTGTCATTTGGTGCCTATGGTTTTTTCTTGGGGTTTTTTTGGTACTGGGGATCAGACTCAGGTCCTTACATTTGCAAGGCAGGCAGCAGAACCGCTGAGCTATATCCCCAGCTTGGTGCCTATGGAATATTCAGAATTTTGTTTGCTTGATTCAGTGGTTTGCTGTGTAGTTCAGGCTGGCCTTGAACTCTTGGTAATCCAGCCTCAGCCTCCAGAGTGCTGTGATTATAGGCATGTGGCACCACAGCCAGCTCCAGAATTATTAAACTCTCTGGGACATCAGGATTCTCATACAAGATAGAGGGTTATATATGGGCCAAGGATGTAGCTCAGTGGCACCGTTCCTGCCTAGCAAGCACAAAGTCCTGAGTTCGGTCCCTGGTGTGTGTTGGGGGTGGTGGGGGTGGGTAGAGGGTTATGGTACAGTGGAAGTCAGCTGGTTTGATGGGGTTGGAGACCTGACTTTAAGTTCCAGCTTCAGGACTCTAGCAAATTTCGCCATGTGGCCCTGTTTCCTCATTTGTGAAGCTGTAATAAAATAGCATGTGGTGAGGTTTAAAAGAGACTTTGTGTGTGAACATGTTCTTCATGGATTGTCCTCCTTTTCCTCTAACTCACAAACTTGCCTCCTCCATGGCCATCTCCTAGTCCTTCTTAGCTGAGGCCAAAGTGGGGTGCCTCCTCTTGCTGATCCACATGTTGCATTTTGTTACTGGGTCACTTGATAATCACCAGCAGTCAGTGAGTTCTCTTAATATCCTAGGCTATAGGTCCCCGGAGCTCTAAGGGACTTTCCTTTTAGCCTTACTGCTCTTTCATAAAACCTTGAGGGAGGACTGATTCATTGACCTTTCCTGGAGAACTCCTCTACTCAGAGGTTCTAATTCAATGGATGTCAAAGACCCACAACCAGACTTCTCAGTGATTCTGAGGAACGGTGGCTTTGAGAACTACTGCCTCACACAGCAATATTTCACCTTCACTCAGAAGACATATTGAGCTGCTACTCCTTGCCAAACATTCCATAGCCTGGTGAAGCAAGAAGAGTTCACTGACCACTGTTGAAAGGTCAAAAGGTGAACAGGTGACAAAATTCAACAGGTACAATAGCAGCCAGGGACACCTTACTCTGCTCTAAGAATGCTGAAAGGGGTAGGGGAAACAGGTTTGCAAGTTGCAGGAAGAGGAGGACAAGCCTTGGAAGAGGATGTTCATACACAGTCTCAATCCCAATGCTCTGTGGGGGGCAGGGGCGGGCAGGGGGTGGGTGTGTTTGCTAGCGATCAAACCCAGGTCCTCAAGCATCAAGCATCGTGCTATTTTATTATGCCTTTATAAGGGAAACTGAGGCCTAAGGCCCAGATAGGCTAATTTGCTGATTCTAGTTATTCCCACTTGGCTCTCATACCAGGCCCCAGAAGTCTCTCCTTAGCTCCAACTTCTTCCCATGCTTAACTTCAGCTTTACTCAAGTGTTTCCAGGGGTAGGCCCTGTGTGTTAGGAGACCTCTGCATTCTTTGTCCTCCAGTCTGACCCCGAACCAGTCCCATCTCCCTCCTCCTTTCATTTGATCCTATTATTTATCTATACATCCAATCCATCCATCTAGGAGAGAATTATTTTCTGCTTACCGACTTCTCACTCTTGGGCATATCTGGGTTAGACCCATTTCTGACTCAGTTTTGGGCTGGAGCAGTTGGGCAGTCCCCTGACATAACGCTACCCTTTCCCTGTGGACACTGTGACCCAGGGCTCCAGAAGGCAGGCTGAAGAGGAGGAGGAGCTTCTCGGTGCCTCAGCTCGTTTGCACCCCCCCTTTAACCCCAGTCAGGGGGTCCCAAGGGGAGGGGGCTGCAGAGCTGAGAACTGCTAATGAAGCCGCAGCCAATTAACGCCCGGGCCAGGGTTGGGGGGCGGATAAAATTAGCAGCCAAGGCTGCAGGAGGGATCTGAAGGCGGGGGTGGAGAAGGTGGGCAGCTGGCTGAGGGGGGGCTGTGTTTGCTGGCGGCTCGAGGCAGCCACGCGTCCCCGCCCTCCAAACCCACGCTCCTCCCTTCCCCCATCCCCTCATCCCAGTGCTTCCTCCCTCCCTCATCCGTCTGCAAACTCAGCGCCCACGAAATTAGGAAGGAAAAGGAAGATCGATGACTCCAGATGCCGCAAACACCGTTCCCCCTCCCTCCCAACCTGCCACCTCCCTCCAGCCCCGCGGAGCTTAGCAGGTTGTCAGCGCTCTGCCTACGCTGTCCCTGCTTCTCCACCCCATTCACGGTCTTATACACCTTCCCCAAGGCGTCCCAGTCAGCAGGTCATCCCCACTCAGGCCTAATCCCTGTCCTCTCTGCCAGTTTCCCTTCGCCCGCCCTCGCAGGAGAATCCCCGCCTCAGGCAAGGTCCCACTCCAAGGGTCACGTTCAGCCCTCTTTGATCCGGCCTTGGATGACCTCCCAGGTGCTGGCTCTGTCAGCCTTTGCCTCGGTTTCCCTGTCAGCCGCCGAGGAGGAGCTCCTGGCCGGGTCCCTACCAGACGGAAGACCACACCTGCCCCTCTTCCCTACAAAGGTCTCACACAGACGCGTATTGGATTTCACTTTATTTTGTTCCCCTTCCCGTCTGTTTTGGCGTAGAAAAAAAAATATCACCGAGAGGAAGCAGCCGGTGAGGGCAGGTGGAGCTGGACTTCAGGGGCGAGAATGGCTTGGGAGCTCTGCTTCCGAAGACTGGGAAGGAAGGGGGGGACAGGCAAACGGCAGGCAGAGGGAGGGGACAGCCCGGGGTACAGGGCCTTCAGTCTCTGAGTGGGGGATAGGGTGGAGGAGCACAGGGGTTTGGGGGTAAGAAGTCAGAACGGGGTGAGGGTGCCAGGCCAGGCGATACTAAAGCTGCGGGCAGAGGGAGTGCCCAGCCCAGCGCCGGGGGACTGCTACCCCAGCCTCTTGGGCACTCCCGGTAAGGGAAAGGGGAACTATGCAGGCGGCTGTCCAGGGTGGGTTATCCCCCTCTGCTCCCGTCCCAGTGTGGAAGGTGTGGACGCTGCCACAGGAGGGGCGGGAACCAGAAGGGGCCCCACTCGAGAGGCTGGGATTTGGCGGGAAGCTCAGGGCCGGGGCAAGGGCACTATCCGAAGTAGGGGTGCTCACTCTGAAAGTTATAGTCTGGGCACACTTTCTGCACCAATTTGTAGTCAAAGCTGAGGAAAGAGACGAAGATACAAATGACTTTGAAGGGCTTGGCACAGAGCCAGGCAGCCTGGCTCTGCGTGTGCTCGGTGAAGCACACTTGCGACGGGTCGTACAGGCATGGGCGGTGCTTTCGCGCCCTGTTAGTTTTCTCGTACTCCACGTGACAGTTGAAAGCGCGGGACTCTTTAGCCCCAGGCACTCCCAGCGTACCCCCGATGGGGCCCGCCAGTGCACCCCCGATGGGGCCTCCAAGCCCCGGACCCGCTGCTGCCGCAGCAGCCGCCATCCCCAATGGGGGCCCCAGCCCAGGAAGCACCCCCTCCAGGGCCAGCGTGGACTGCAGAGGGTGGGGGGCAGGCCCAGGCAGCCAGACGCCCCCGAACTCCACGAGTTTGGAGGGCGGTACGATACTGACACTGAGGTTGCCCAGGCTGGACGAGTTGTGGCGGAAATACACGCTGAAGGTACCGTTCACGTGGTCCACGATCTTGCCAGTCACCAGCAGCGAGAACTTGAGGGTATGCACCCGGAAGTAGAAGTCCCCCCAGCCGAAGATCTTTTTGGCGCGGGCCGCTTTGACGGACGGCTTCCTCTTGCTTCGCTGAGCTGGCAGCACCCCCGGCGCCCCAGCCCGGGCCAGCGCCCCCGTGTGGTTAGCCGGCCAGGCCCAGCTCCAGGCGCGGGCAGTGCCCAGGCCTTCAGGAGACCTAGGCGCAGGGAGCTGTTGGCTAGGGGCTGGCCCTCCGGCCGGAGCTGGGCGCAGTTCCAGGTATTGCGGCCTTTCGGAATCCGGCACCTGGGCACTGATGGCCTGTATAGGAAGAAAGAGAAGGAAAGAGAGACGCTGAAGTGGGCCTTGGTCATCTTGCCTTCTATCCAGCCAGCCCTTTTCTATAGCCGCTAGGAGACTAAGTGGAAGGCACAGTCCACAGCGGGCAGTTCAGGAGTGTCCCTTGCAGTAGACCTGCGGCCCTTTGCAAGTTGTGTGGTCTTGGCCAAGTCACTTCATTTATCTGGCCCTCAGTTTCTGCGTCTGTAAAGTAACCTGAGAATCCTTGTGTTCTCACAGAGGTCCAGTGTGGGCCCATAAGCCAAAGCCAGCACGGGCGTGGGAGTGAGCAGGCAGTGAATTTCTGCTTCCTGTTCCCTACCCTGGTCCCTGGATGGTTCCTAGTGGGGCAGGGGCAGGGAAGACCTGGAATCAGCAGGAAAGGCTGTGGCCCCCTCAACATCCAGCATGGAGAAAGAGACCAAAAGCTGGGCATAGTAGTGTAAGCCTGTGATCCTAAAACTCAGGAGGCTGAGGCAAGAGGATCACTGTGTTTGAGGCCAGCCTGATCTACATAATGAATTCAAGTCCAGCCTAAACTATACAGGACTCCCTGTCTTTAAAAAAAAAAAAAAAAAAAAAAAAAAAAGGCCAAAGCTAGCTCAGTGGCACACAACTGTAATCCCAGCACCGAAGAGAGGCTGAGGCAGAAGAATCATAGAGCAGCCTCAACCTGGGCAATACAGGGAGACCCTATTAAAAAGAAGAAGAAGAAAGAAAGAGGAAAGGGAAGGGAAGCAAAGGAAGGGAAAAGAAAAGAAAGGAAAGCTGAAGACCTTCTGCCAAGGCAAACTGTCCGTTCCTGCCTCAGCTCTGAGCGTTCTGCAGGGAGGGGCTGCTGAGGACCGGTTGGGGGCTAAGAGTCCCTTGCTGTAGGGTGAGGTGTGGGGAATACACCAGTACCCATCCCTGTCCCCAGCCCTCCTGCTATGGTGGAGGCTGCCTGTCGCCTGTCGGCCCTTCCCTGGGCTTGAAGGGGGCTGGAGGGACCGCCGTGCCGGTCGCACCACCCCACCTTCTCCGAGTCTCAGGTGGCGGCTGATCTGGGAGACAGCACCAGTACGAGTACAAGATGGATAGAGAGGCGGGAGCAGCCGGGCCAGGCCCGGGCCATCAATTATCTGGGGTGTGTATGGGGGGGGGTGGCCAGGAGTGAAGGAGACAAGGAGAGAGCAGAGGAAGAAATATGGAGATGCCGCTCTAGCGCTGGGGTGGGAGGGAGAGGAGCGGAGGATGTCAGAGTGTGTCAGTCAGCCTGTGTTAGCCGCCACCGTGCTGTGCTGTGTGGCCTTGACTGCATGCAGGTTGGGGTGGGGAAGCTCCGTGTGTGTCAGTCGGAGGCGGCAGTGTTTCTGTTAGCTTGAATGGTTGTGTGTTCGTCTGTCTACCTGAGTAGCTCCGTGTGTGTTAGGGTATCCTGTACGTATGTCAGTCTGTGGTGGTTGTGTGTGTAGCTGTAGTGACTGTGTGTGTGTGCCTATGTACATCAGTGTGAGGATGCTGTGCGCGTGTCTGCCGGCTGTGGTGGCTGTGTACATGTGCTGGGTTGACTGTGTCTGTGTCTGTCTGTGTTGATCTGAGTGACAGTGTGTGTGCCAATTTGTGGCTGTATGTCTGTCTGTGGCGGTCTGAGGGTGGCTGTGATTGTCTGGTGGTTTTACTTTTCCTATTTGTGTTTCTATCATCCTCTGTCCTTGTGTCAAGTCAAGCTCTTTCAAAAGGGAGTGTATGCAGTGACAGAACAAGTGTGGTCTGTGTCCCCATGACTGTGTGTGTGTGTGTGTGTGCACATGTGCATGTATCTGAATTTTGTACATGAATGGTCCAGATGAGCACACTGGCCTATAGGCTGTTTGGGGTAGGGAAGGAGGGCTGGCAGCATGGGTGCCCCCTCTGTTTGCACACACTCGTGTGTGCACACCATGTGTCCACAGGGGACGGTAATAGCAGAGCCAAGCTCCTGGGCTAGAAGCTCCACTGCCTCATCCCTGTCCCTGCAGCACTGTGGTCCCGGGTTATTAATGCCACCACCACCCGCTAGTCATACATATTTATCGCCCCCCCTTCCTCCTCTTATCCAGCCCTCCTCCCAGTCCAGGTGAGGGGGTGGGGGCAGCAGGAGTGATTGACTCAGGCAGACAAGCTTGAGCTGGCATCTAACACCTGGAAGGGTGGGCTTTCCAGCTGCTGGGGGAAGGGGTCTCAGGATACAGAGCGAGGGAGAAGAGGCTTCCTGGGGAAGAGGTGAGCTTGAGTCCCGGAGAGGGCAATGGAGAAGGGAGAGGGTGAGGTTTCCACAGAATGCCAAAGAGTAGGCTGTTGAACTCTGATCCCTAATCTCACCTTTCTATTCTTTGCTGGAAAATCCAGCCACCCAAGCCCCCTCTTCAAGCTACCTGATGCTGTGACCCCAACTGCCTCCAAGCCGCCTCCTCCCAGGAAAGCCCAGCATCCCTATGTCCTGCGCCCAGCCTAGGACCTGGGCAGGGCTACTTCAGTCCAGTGACTCCTCAGGCACTGGGGGCAGGAAATGAGATCTGGCAGGGCAGAGGGGTGCCAGGATGTCCCCCCACCTCTGATCTCAGACAAATTGCTGTCTCTCCTGCTGTGATCCTGGCAAATCCCTGGGCTTTGGGCACTAGCACTGGAAATGGCCAAGATGAAAGGGAAGAGCTGGGGGAAGTGTCCAAGAGCCCTTGGTGGGGAGCTCAGACTGGGAGGGGCGAGAGAGTGAGTCTGTGAGGAAACGAGCCGAGAAATGGGAACATGGAATAAAATAAAATAAAATCCTCCCTCTGGCTTCCTTGATCGCTCGAGCTCTCTCTCCCTCTCTCGCTCTCCCTCTTTCACTGTTTTTCTATTTCTCTCTCCCTCCAGTCTCTTTCTGTCTTTCAATTTCTTCGCCCACTCTGTCTGTCTCTAATTTCCACCTTCCAGTATTCTGCTTTTCCATTTTGTCTCTCTTCAGCTGTGGTTCCCTCTCCTGTCCTTCAGGTTGTGGGTCTCCAGTGGTGGTGGTGGGGGCAAGTGGTAAGGGAACCCCTGTTTGCCCAGAGCCCTTCTCTCCCCCCTCAGGGCTATGGGTATGGTCCGAGGAGGGGTCCCCCTTGCTCCAGAGCTGGTTTAATTAAGCTAATTGGGCGAGGTGACATTTGCAGAGGGGAGAGGCTAGCAAGGCTGTCAGAGAGGGTAGAGGTGTGCGGTGGCTGGGGGCCCCTCCTTCAGCAGGCTCCTCCAGGCCCATGCAGGCGGGGCTGGAGCTGCATCAGGAGCGCTTTGCCCCCAAGGCATCGAGCCCACGCACCTGAGGGGAGTTGAGGCCATCTCTGGCTGCTAAATAAACTCCACTGAGTGTTGGCGGGGGGACTCTTGGATGGGACAGGACTGCTGGGAATCAAGGAGGAGGATCAGCCGGTTGGCCCCCCAGCCGCATTGCAGGGTGCACCTCCCTTGGGCTTCTGGACTGGTTGGTGGTTCCTTCCTGCCTTGTAGGTCAGGCAGAGTGCTCAGAATTTGGCCAGGGGAGGGGACGGCACCCTGGGGTGGGGAAGGAATAGTCCAGACCTGGGTGGGGTTAGGGGGAAAATATGTTCTGAGCCCCTGCACCTAGAAAGAGGTGAGGACACTGCAGTCAGGGCAGGGTGAAGTCTGGCTGGGAACCAGGGACAGAGATGGGGGTGAGGACAGAGGTGGGTGGACAGGCTGGGCAGAGGTCTGGGACAGAGATGGAGCAGGGCTAGGGTTGGAGACCTGGAAGGCATAGGGGGCAGAGCAGAGGATGGCACAAGGACAGACATGAGGACAGGGGTGAAGAGATGTGGACAGACACTGGGCAGAGACACGGACGCAGATGAGACAGGGACCAGAGGAATGAAGATGGGGTACAGAAAAGATGGGAGCCAAAACGGGGCCAGGGCTGGTGGGTGAGAGATGAGCGAGCACTGGGGACTGGTAGAAATGAGGAGGCCAAGGACTGGGAGACGGCGATGCGGACCCAGGAAGGGGCAGAGCAGAAATGGAGAAGGAGGGGGGTCACTGAGGAGAAAGAGGGATGCTGGCCACGCACAGGGCAGGAGACGGGTGGGGGAAGCCGATGGGAACCGGAATGGGAAAGAGGGGCGAGGAAAGCCATGAGGGAACAGGAAGCAGCTGGGGACAGGTAGGAAAGACAAGCGGAGGAAAGGAAGACCAGGGTGGGCCAGGCTTTGGAAGGGGCCAGTCAGGTGCAGGCAAGATACCTCCTTCCAGGCCCCTACAGCGTGCAGGGAGGGGGTGCCTGCGGGTGGGGTGGGCTCTGCCCTTGGGCGGGTCTCCCCTCCCCACCAGCCCCGCCTGCCCGCCTGCTGGAGGCCTGCCGCACAAGGCTCACCGTTATCTGAATTTTGATTTTATTTTATTTTATTTTATTTCCCTGCTTCCTAGAGCCGGCGCAGTCCCCCCGGGAACGGCCGCCCCCCGCCCCCCGCCCCGCGCCTCACTTTATTATTGCAATAAATGTGCCTATAAAGGCGCCGGCTCGGGGCGCGGTGGGGGGGGGCCGCGGAGCGGGGATGTAATTTCCCGAAGCCGGAGCCAGAGGGGGAGTGGGCGGGGTGGAGGTGGAGGAGGGGCAGGCGGGGGAGGGGGGAGCTCGCCAATTTCCAGCGCTCACGGCCTCACTCTGCTCCTGTCCCCACCCTACAGCCTGCACCACAGCATGCCCTGCGACTCCCTCTGCTCTTGAGCCCTGGGCCCCCTCCCTTTTGACCTGCCCCCCTCTTACCGGGTGCCCTGGCACATGCCCATCTTGAGTTACTGGGGCTCCGTCGTCCAAAGTTCCCTATCTTTTTGATGATTCTTCCATCTCTGACCCCAGTGAGGGCCCCTCCACTTACCTGCTGGCTTTCGAGATTACCTCACTCCTCCCCAATTACCCCGTTCATGACCCCAGTAGCCCCTCTTTACCTTGTTTCTGTCCTATTACCTCAACTCTTCTACACATACACACACACACACACACACACACACACACACACACACACAC